ATTCACACTCTGGTTGTCTCACCCTAGTTAGGAGAGGTGTTATTCATTGTGCCATGAGCTAAGCACAAGACCAAGACTTTGTCAGGGAGAGTTGGGCATCAGATGTGTTATGACTACTGTTTATCAGACATTAGACGTCACCGATAGACATCCTTGAGAAATATTAAATGTTTTAAGTTATAAGAATGTCAGGCACAATGTAACAGTAATTGGACATACTGTGGATCAGAAAATACATCTGGTAGGAAACCTACTCAGAAACCTGTTGAACTATTGCAGTTCCTGACCTAGACACAAAAGGCTAGATAAGAGCTTTCCTACACTAATGTCACCCTCCTCTACTGGGAATTTCACATCAACAAGTGTGACAAGAACTCGAGAAGAAAGCTCGACCAGGCAGGAGGAGGAGGTAATTAATTAGGGACGGTGTGCATCATCTCTATTCAACTCATAAGACACCTACTGCTCACACACATACACATGTATTATACGCACACAGATGTGATTGTGCTCCCCAGAGTCTAATTACTGCCTTGGCTTCCAATTCAAGAGAGGTGGAACACGAGCGGACAGACTGTATGACTAATAAAAATGTGAGATCAACATAGATTAAAACCAATTTCCTAGCTTAAAAAGAATGGCCCACTTTTATTGTCTGAGGACATTTAATTTTCCACTTACTGTTAGCCACTAGTGATTATGCACATGTTTGTGTGCTTCCTCTTCTGTGCTTGTGTGTGCTCATGATGCTGTATGTGTATTCATGAGCCTGTGCCAAGGCATAAATTGTGTTTCAAATAGAACAAAGCTTGCAAAGCCCAGATCAAAACGGGCGGATCTGATTTGCCTATGTAATCACAAGACTCATCACACCTTCAGTAACGGAAGATACATTTCAGGATAAAAGAAAAAAATAAAATCATCCAGATTTTCATGACAAAAGATGTCCAGCTGGACCTCTGAAGGGAACATATTATCCTGATAATAGTGATGGACCAGGCCACTTTGTGTGTGTGTCTGTGTGTGTTTGTGTGTACACTCTGTAGTACAAAGTATTACAGCTCAGAACATCCTTTAATCTTTAATCTTTTTGGTCTTTTTTATTCCATGCTAGTGTTTTTTTGTGCAGTGGATAAAATAAACCCCATATTAAGTCATTTTTACTCATATACGAAGAAAAGGTTGCCATGTACTGTAAAGCCATTTACTCATTTCCAGGAACAGTTTGTCTTCAATCAAGAAGAATATATTCATGGAAAATCAACTGGAGGCTACATGACTTTAAAGTAGGCACGTAGTCACTGGCTGTAAAATGAACTGTTTGACCACACATCATTGACAAGCCTCCTCTTGAACTTAATGAGCTCACATTTTCTATATTTTGAGCTTTATCCTCACTGACCTTTTCAAGATCAAGATGCACTTTGTCATAAGCCAATCAGCTCTGCTCATGGGTGCCATCCTTAGGTACAGCAAAGGGATCAAACAAAGATACAGCATTGAACATGACATTGCACAATATGTAATATATGTCATCTTATGCCCTTTATGGATTAAAAAAGATGATAAAAAGTGGTACAGGAAAAATAAGTATATCTATAGTATATCTATCTCTTTGGAACTCTCCTGACAAGTGTGCATTGAAACACAGTATTTAAAGAAATGTGTGGGCGACACCTAATGGACTAGAAAGGAATTACGCTCATACTCAAGACTGGTAGATCCCCTTTAGCTCACTTTCAAAGATGGTAAAAAGAAGGTAAAGCATTTCTACTTTGTGGTATTACTTTGTTACAATACGATACAAATCAAAAAGAGTGAAAATGAATGTTTTTTGCTGGGTTGTGGTGTAAAAATGTTACAAAATTGATGACAAATTACAAACTATTTAAAATGTTTTATTGCCTTACATTATTACCTAATGTTGAATAAGAATACAATTTGTGGTTAAATTAATCAAAAGAAAATCCTGACCCCAAAAACTATTAACTTACATATGTACAGGTTCTTATCAAAAGTTTCCAGTAAAATTCAGACTTCATCAAAAAGCAAAATATATACCAGAGTTGGAAATTCTTTACTGTCTCAGCATCAGATACAATACGCTGATGGACAGAATATTTTTTTTTATATGAGAGGATATCATCGAAAGACTACAGACATAATGTGCATAGCCATAGAGAAATAGATGATAAATAATGGAATATAAAGACAAAGAGTTAGCTGAAAGTGAACTCATCTCTTATCCTACTGCATCAGATCCATTATCGTTGTTGCGTGACGCAACATTACACCAGCAAACTATACATGTACTTTACATATCTCAGAATGAAAACATACATCCAAGCAGCTGTCACTGCTGTGATGGACAGTGAGTCTGATCACAAGGATCTGAACACTCTGCCTCTACAGGCAGGTGGCTGGCTGGGATACCTACTGGAGGACGGACCTTTCTTATCGGGCTGAAACTGCGTGGGGATGAACCAGGGGAGTGAGCAGGTGAGCGGATAGGGCGCAGAGGAGGCCCTGGAAGCGTTTGTGGGAGAGGCTGTGCCAGTGGAGAAGGGCTGCGGGGGTATCTGCGTGGGGCAGACCAGATGGGCCGGTCAGTTCTGTTGGACGAGGGGGGAAGGACTGGAGCGTAGGTAGCAGGGATACTCATTTCTGATTGGCTGAGAGCATTGCCAGAACATTCTTCCAAACGCTCAGTCTCCTGAAACAAGATGGAGAAACACCTGTTAAGATCATCAGCAGTGGTGTTTAATTTGTAAAAGCATGAACTAGGGTATGTTTTTGGCCTTGATAGCAGCATGTCTCTACAGATGGCAGTGCTGGTCTGTAGGTCTGACCACCACTTTGGTCCAGACTGAAATATCTCAACAACTAATTGATGGATTGCTATTAAATTTTGTAGTTCCAGAGGATGAATCCTAATGATTTTGGGGATCCCCATCTCTTATACACTAATGAAAACATAACTATTAATATCATATTCCATTTCTGCTAATAGATCCTCCTTAATGTTACATACTGGACCTTTAAATATTTGCAAAACAATTTTAATTAAAACTAATGACTTTCTCATCAGCATCAGTTGCTAATACCTAATATAAAAGAGTGACTTACATCTTCATTGAGAACATAAAGCGGCATAGGACTCCTTCGACCAAGTGTAGTTGGTTTGGGAACAACATCAACTGTGAAAAAATATTTATTTTATTGTTTGGCATGCTGACAAGTTAACTTTACAATGAGTAAAATTATTCTTGAGTGTTGTGTGACATGTTTTAAAGGTTAATAAGGTGCTGTACTCATTCAAATATGATCAGCTGTAACCACTGTTACATGTTTCTCACCATCATGGCCATTTTCACTCTGCTCTATATAGATGGGAACTCTTTGGGGGACAGGTCGATGCTTCTTTCTACAGCAGGAAAGAAAAAACAGCTTAAAACACATCCCAACCTTGCTGCTAAATGGTAATTCATACAAGCTACAGGTCACTGTCGATTCATTTTTCACCAAATGTTCATGTTCATGTATGGTGACACTGTTGAGCTACATAAGATTCTAGTCACATCCTCAAGTGCAATATCAAAGCCAAGGAGAGAGAAAGAGAGAGAAGGAAAGAAGAGAGAGAGAGAGAACGAGAGGGGAAGAAGAGAAGGAGAGAAGAAGAGATGAGAAGATGAGAAGAGAGAGAGAAAAAGAACCAAATGCACACCAATAAGAGTAAGCGCTCACCTTGGATGTTTCCACAGGCACCACACTGTCACCCGGGTGATTACGGAGGATATCGCCACCGTGACAGATGATGTATACTCTAAACAAAGTGATAAAGAGAGTAGACCACACCACCCACCCACCGAAAGAAAGCAAGAAAGAAAGAAAGATGGATAGGATTGTGTCAGTAACAGCAGGGTAATGCAATTTCCCTCTCAATGAACCACTGACTTGTACCTTTGCTTCACATTTAACTTCAAAGCTTGACCTGCTTTACAAATATATTACATGGAAAAGTAAAGTTCACAGGATTAGATGAAGTTGTGTCTTCAAGAAAAAAAAAGTTAATTGGGAACATCCTGTATGCTTTTAATGAAACAAAGTCAGGATACGGAGCATGCAGAACATTTGATTTTTTTTTTTTTACATTGCTTGCCAAGTCTTTTGAGTGTGCTGGCATGAATAAGGTGCAGTGAAGTAACACATTAGGGTAGTCACTTTGAGACTTTGTGCCGCGCTGCTATGCATGCAGAGGGAATAGAGAGCAGTTTGAGAGCCTGTAGCTGTCTCTTCATGCAGCACATCACAGTACAGCAAATAATGAAGTCAGGATTACTGAGGTCCACTGAGGCAAAGCGTCCTCCCCACCTGCCTACTTTTTCTGTTCCCTCCTCATAAATAACTGTCCATTCATTGGATTAGACAGCCTCTCCCTCTCTCTCAGGCTGACATGTGGCTCTATACTGGCGCCCAGTAACAGCCGCTCTGAGCCAACTCTGCTGCACTCAGCCTGGATTTGCACTTGTTGTAAACAACATTGTTAGAGAGGCAGGCATGCTTGTGTATGGGTCAGCATGAGATGATAATTGCTCCTGCTAGCCACTGAAAATGGATGGTTGGTGAACAATGAGCTGGTACAGTTTTCATAATTAGATTCTCAGGATATTTATACATTTTCATGTTGGTTGGTATTTATTAGATGTAGAAACCAGTGCTGGAATGTAACTACATTTCATATACTTACAGTACAATTTTGACATACTTGTAGCTTTTTTTTTTTTAAAGACAAAACATAGGGCAATTGGTACAATATTACATTACAAGAAGACAGGACAATAGATGGGTTAGATACATAGAACATGCATAGAACAACATGCATAGAAATTAAGACATTTAAGACATTACGATGAGTATAGCAGTTTATAATGAGCTGGGATGTTGAGTTGGCTAGTGTTTTTGTCGTGAGATATAATAATAGGTGAAATATTAAAAAAGACAAGGCAAGGAGAATCATAAATAAAGATACATAGTAAAGGATATAGGTGATTTGGGGTCTTATTAGGACTGACATTGAGCATTTACGGTCCCTGGGTAGTAGGGGCGGTGGACGGGGGGGCACCATAGGGAACAGGTGGGAATGACAGCAGGTTCCTTCGCAGAGTTGTAATCATTATAGCATTACTTTTCTCCCTTGAGAGAAGGGAAGGGACGTGGGGGTTTAGGGGAATTGTCACAGTGGGCCACATCTACTTGTACTCAACTTCAGGATTTCAAATTTTGTGCAACATTATAATTCTACCTCACCACATTTCAGAGATAAATATTGTATTTTTACCCCACCACATTTATTACTTTTTTTGTTACTTCTTCATCCTTAATATAAACATGTATAACTTGAGATCCTACCGGTGTAACATGCCACCTACTGTAGACAGTGAGCTTGACAGGTATGCTCTTCATGCTGCTGATGGGGTTCTCCACTGTGCAGGTGTAGATGTCATCATCTGACATCAGAACGCGTGAGATGGTCAGCACCTTTTGGTCATGTGAAAGCATCAGACGTGAGTCATTCATCAGCACTTTGCCTCCCTTCAGCCAACCGTAGACGGGCTTTGTGCCGTTATCGTGGGAACAGTGGATGTTAAAGTGCTCGCTGTACTCCAGGACAGACGAGGCCATCATCTGGATGTAAGGTTTCGACACGGGAACTGAGGAAGATGGCAAGACAAAGACATGGGAGGGATATGAGAGGGTGGTTTGACCTCTAGTTATATAACAACAACTGATAAGTGTAATCCCAGTTAGTCTTAAAAAGAACACCACCAACAATATGAATCACTGTATCGTGTTCTCAAAAACTAAACTCCAGTATTACTATTACACTCTCTAGGGCGAGATCGTGTATTTTCAACTTGTATTGATTTTCTTTTAGCTCATAACTCCTCTTCAGTGTTGTGCTGTGATTGCTCAGATATTTTGAAATAGGAGAGATGCCAGGTCTTTAAAAGGCAGGTAATTCTGCATACCATCCACAGTGAGCTCAATGTAGCGCTCTCCAGTGAAGGTGTCATCAGTGATGGAGATCTCCACTTCGTACGCCCCTTCGTCTGACAGCTGCAGGTTGTGAAGCAGCAGAGACCCATTCTCACACACCAGAATACGGTTGCGGTACTCTGGCCTCAGGTTCCCTATGATGTCTGTTCCTATGGACTGCACAACAGTGATGGGTTTTTCTTTGTCCCTCTTTATCTGCCACTTGATCACAGGCTTGTCGGAGCTGCTGCTGGAGTAGCTGACCGACAAGAGGGCCTCTTTGCCCACTGTGCCCCTCACCACCTGAGTTTGGCTAGTCACATTCACCCCTGACACCTCACCTGGAGAAAAAGGCAAAGAGACAGTGGTGAGGTCTTGAAGGAGGAGCAGATAAAGAGGGATACAAGGTTGCTTAGGGACACTGAGTAAACAAAGAACAGTCACTTTGCAGCCTTTGATGCTCTGCTAGTGGGCAGAGATCAGCGAAATCAACTATTCACACAGAGTGAAACAATGGAGGACTTATGCAAAAACACACTAATTACTGCTACACTAATTACTACTCTTACTACAAGAACACACATGGAGAGCATGGATAAAATGGCCCTATACTATAACAAAGTACAAGGTACAGTATAAGTACAATATAACGGTTCATTTTTACTTGGTACTCCATTTATTTTATTTCTATAGTCACATTCTGTACAACATGCCCAAACATTTGTTACGATCTGTCTGAACTCCCCTTCTTAAGTTTGAAATAGTCAAACTACTTAAAACACTAAAATACATATTATATGTCGATGCATCCACAACAATTACATGTTATTTCATTGTTATTTGTTTACTGGAAAATGTCAAACAGTGAAAAAAGCACAAAAAAAGTCGAATATTTTTCTATTATGCCAACATTGTTTTTCCAGTAAGATTCGTACCACTGCTGAAAACCTTGTGTTAGGCCTATTAAATGAGACCCAGTTAAAGTATTACTTTTTATTTAAAATCCAATTTTTAACCAATTTAACATTCGATCATACTGACTTTGAATAGTTCAGATAAGGTGAAAATAATTTTTTAAACAATTGATTTCATATAAATTATATTTTTGTTTATCATTTTGCATGTAAGGAATAAAGGATTTAATACAAATCAAACTCCTTTTATTTTAAGAAGCTCAAGGTTTAATTTTAATGCTGTTACAAAGGGCCTTTCATTCTTGAAGGCTTTCTCCAACTTTCTTCAGACTTGACTAATATTTTTTTACATTTTTGTCTCGAAACATCACTCAGCTTACTGTGTGCTACACACACAAACAAACTGATATGCACACACATTTTCTTTGATTCAGGGCCCACGTTTTCATAACTAATCTGTTTCTCAGAAACTCCCCCCAGGAATTCCTTACAACCCCTCATTGTGAACAAGTAATGCACTAATTTTGATTTGTGTTCTCTAATTATTCTCCACCTCCCACAGGGACACAGGGATAAGGTATTACAGTGCGAGCCACATTTCATCCTTTATAGAAGAGCTCTGTCCTGGAAACCAAACACAGCAAAGCTATTATCTTCACAGTGGAGGTTCCTATAACTCAGCTGTAGCTGGACACATAGAGGTCTAAATATTGGCCGGATGCCTGTGAGGGACATCCTACTGTTAGGCCTCAGTGATGGAAAGATCAACCTAGAAGAGAGGGAGGAGAGAGAGTCTGCACTGTTCACTATTCTTTGCAGTGCGGCAGTTAGCAGGGCATCGCCTCATTGCCGTGGTAACCATTTGGTCCGCCTGACAGGGGTTGCCAAGGCGATAAGACAAAGGGCATGATTGTTGGAACTTGTTTCCTCCCTCGAAAAAGAGTGAGAGAGGGTTAGAGAGGGAGAGAAAGAGAAACTCTTTGTCACTGGTCAAGTTGGAGACACAGGATCCAGTGATTCCACCAAAACTGCCCTGGTCGGGTAAATTGGGCCCATGGTACGGTCTTGAAAATTAAATCAGACATTTTGAAACCAGAATCACCACGTATATAAACTTTTGACATCACTTTACCCCTCAAATGAACTCATCCAAAGTTTCCCACACTCAAAAAAAGTAGGCCTTGCTCTATTCATCAGCTCTCAACAAAACTTGATATCATCACACTTAACCTACACATCCCTTTCTCACACACCTACAATGGCCACTCCAGACTCCTTTGAGCTGGTGATGGGGACCCAATATAGAGTGCCACCCATGAATGAATCCATTGTGCCGCCAGCTTGTGGAGCAAAAGGACAGCAAAAAAAAAAAATACATCTGCAACTAACTTAAGCTGGATTAACTTCAAAAAGAGTAAGAATTTGAGTTTTGATCTGTTTTTAAGTGACAGAATTAACATAAACAAAGAAAGTAAAGCAAAGCCAATTAAATACTGTAAAAAGATGTTAATTGAAAGGATAATTACTGATAATGAGCTCCACTCAGGTTTCTCCTTGCTCGTTAATAAACCACTAACTAAATCCACTTGTTCTGTCGTCATCTGAAAGACTGCACAGCCTCAGAGAGACTCTTTATCCTCTGTTCTATGGCTAACACTGACAAATGTTTGGACTTACCTGTGAAGAGAAGGAGGAGGAGGCCAAAGAGCGTCAGTAGTGGAGGAATGTCAGTGAAACTGTCGCCTGTAGAGGAGGTCTTCCTCTCCACCTTCATCTTGTGTCCTGGGCAGAGTCTTTCTCCCACTTAGTGAGCATGGTTTATCCACCCTGGGCACGTCTCTGCAGCTCAACAGTCTCTCCACTGCCTGCCTGCCTGCAACACTGGCCTCTGCCTGGTCACACTGAGCCCCACTCTCCTCACAGCACCCCAGTCACAGCCAACAACAGCCAACTGTGTGTGTGTATGTGTGTGTGTGTGTGTGTTTGTGTGAGACAGAAACATAGTGTAGATGAGCTCCTCTCTTCCACTCCACATTGCCCTTTCAGAAAGGAGCTCAAAGAAAATAGTGTTTGCTTTTTTTGGGGGCAGTTATTTATCTTAAACTGTCTGTTATTTTTCAAAGCTTCCTGTAAATAAAAAAGCGCTGTCCTCTTTTTACACTCTAAGTAAACCATTAAAGAGCTGAATTCAATATTGAGTTGAGCTACTTTGCAGGAATTCCTGCTGGGAAGAATTACTGTACTTCAGCCAAAACAGCGGCTCTAAGAGGGTCCCACTTAAAGCTCTGAAATGTCTGAATTTGAAAAACAACTCACCTCCCCCCTCTTTGGCCCACTTTTGTCACATTGTGCGAACTCCTTTCTGCACTGGAGCCTCACAAAAAAACTCACAATTTGTCACTTGGCAACCAACCCTGCTGCTGACCCACACACACAAACACATAAAGCATATGGTCTACTCTGAGCTGCTACACCTGTCAGGTGCATGATCAGTGGTACAGAACATTTCTGAGAGATACATACTAATATCAGCAACAAAAACAGGAATCAAATGTTTGTACCTATTTTGTCCTCTAGGTGGTGTAGAAGCTACATTAAGACAGTCAACTGATGGAGACATAAGGAGAAGGAAGCAAAGCTGCCAGGCCATGCATTGACGTTTAAGTTTTGGCTTTTTAACTACACTTTTGCTCTTTTTGTTTCTTGTAATTTACATATCCAACATGCATGTGAAAAACAAAAAAAAGCAGTGCGACTGGGTTAAATGTTGTAAGTGAAACAATAGGAAAAACATCTGGCACTCGTCATGAAAACGACAGGAAATTGTAAAATGTATACAGTCCAACACAATATTTTGTATTAAGGATTTTAGTGCTTTAGATCTTTTACCTATCTCCCTGTTCTAATTTCTTGTTAGCTAGACTGTCACTTTCCATTGTATCAGAGCTGATGCCTTGTATAAAGTATATGCAACATCATTTATTTTTCACTGTCTTTTCGAGATTAAGGCATTAGCTTGTATGCATTGATGAGTCAGTTGATTATAAGTCATCTCTCCCACTTTCAGAAAGCTTATTGTTAGAGTTTTTAAGAACATTTTGTTTGACAAAAAAGGGAGGTTTTATGCAGAGGAGGAAGCATGGTTGACAGACAGCTGCAGGAATGTGGGAACAGCTGCCGTTCACCACCGATCTCCCAGGGCTCAGACTCCTGTGTAGTGGGCCATCAAAGCTGAACCTCTCCCCTCCACCTCTGCCCTCAGTAAAAGCAGCACCTCCCTCTGCCTCTCATCTTCTAACACACTCTAAATCAAGGGGAACTCTTTCCAGTCAATAGAGAAGGAGAGAGGGAGCACAGATGGGGCCTGTGTGTCTCAGTCAGTTTTGGTGACAGAAACCATTGTCACGTTTAGTTCTCAACGGTACTGCTGATGTGACTCACACATACAGATGTGACAAAATATTTCCAGTTACATCTTTTGGATTCCTTTAGTTTACAGTCTAAGTGATGGTGATATATCGGGTGTTGTTTATGCAGCTGTGGCAATAATGTCCTCTCATTTATATCCTCTCATTA